GACGCTACGGATGAAGAATTCGCCCAAGAAGACGTGATACGTAATGATTTTGACACAATGCGGTTCGCGGTAATAGGGCGTTACGAAAGCTTCGTTCCCGCGCGGGAGACCGACGAATCCGCGCGGAGCGCGCCGCCGGCGCATCACTCCGCGATTAAATTACCGAAGATCGCCCTTCCTCAATTCAACGGTGATCTTGACAAATGGCCGTCGTTTATTGCGCTGTATAACCAGGCGATCCACGAGAATTGCGGTGTGTCCGCGATCGAGAAATATCAATATTTGTTTACTGTCAGTTGAAACGGTTTGTAAGACACATCCACTTCACCGCTCATCATAAAACAATAAGTTTTATAATCGACTGACGAGCATTGCGACCTGACTTTATTGTTGACTTTGAATCTGTGAGTTGCTTTTGATCTTTTTCTTTTTGTTAACTCTTGCATTTTTTGTGAGTGGATGGTACTCCGGATGTCCACAGGTATCGCTACACAATGACAAACGACATTCTGCAGTTCAAATTTTCTGGCACTTCAACCAGGAAATTACACGACGATGCTTTGGAACGTGTCGGAGTGCACATCCGCCCTAATTATCGTTTGACTTGATGTTTGCGGCGTTAAGGTTGTTTCTTACCATACTTATGTAAAGTTTTGTTAATCATTGCGCTGAGGAGGACCCCAAAAAAGGGTCGAAACGTTCGTCGTTATTGTATTCGAAATTGAATTAAATTTAGCGGTCAAACATCACGCTGGGCTCTTATTGCCTTTGTCGAGTTTTTTGGTTGTTCAATATTTGTTGGCCTCGCTATCGGGGGAGGCTCTCGGCGTGGTGAGAAACCTGCCATGGACCGCGGAAAATTACGAGATCGCGTATGATGCTTTTCGGGAGCGCTACCAGAATAGGCGCAAATTAGCGACGCAGTACTGGCGTTCGTTCGTACACGCCAAACCGTTGGTTGCGGATTCCGCCGAATTTCTCCGCGCGTTACTGGACGTGTTCACCGAAAACACGCGCGCCCTGAGTATGCTGGATTATCCGGTCGACGCGTGGGACTTTATGCTGCTTAATCATTTACTCGAAAAGCTCACTCCCACGCTCCGGGAGAAATTCGAAGCGGCCCACATGACCGTGGAATCGCCGCGGTATGATCAGTTAACGAGATTTCTAGCGGGATACTGCACGGTTCTCGCGTCGGCGTCGGGCTCTTCGGCGCAACCGAGTAAAAGGAAGGCCGCGTCGACCACCTCGCTCGTTGTCCAAAACGCCGCGTGCCCTAAATGTACGGAGCAGCATTTACTGGCTAAGTGCCCCGTTTTCCTGCAGCTCTCGGTCCGGGAGCGGCACAATTTTGCTCGCGAATCGGGGCTCTGCCTAAACTGCCTCCGCGCGGGACATAACTTGAAGAATTGCTCTAGCCCGTTTACCTGCCGGCATTGTCAGGCGAAGCATCACTCGCTCCTGCACTTCGGGCAGGCCAACGCCCCATCGCTCGAGGCCGCCTCGGCGGTCACTCCAGTCGTGGACATCCCTGCGGCTCCGGCGGATACGGGCGATAGCCCGATCGTCTCCCTGGCGAGCACTTCGAGTCGCATAGTCCTGCTCTCGACGGTGCGTGCGGAGGCGCTCGACGCTCACGGCATCGCCTTCCCGGTTCGTGTATTGCTCGATAGCGCGAGTCAGGCTAATTTCGTCACGGAGAGCTGCCTTCAGCGGGGCGGCTTCGCTCGGGCAAGGCATCGTGCGACGGTGATGGGCGTCGGCGAAACGAAGGCCGCCACTACTAGAGGCCTTACCTCATTCGTAATCCGGGTGCGAGATGAGCCCGACATTCGATTTCCGGTGGAAGCCACCGTGCTCCCTCGCATCACCTCGCCGTTGCCTGGTAGCCGTGTCGATTCCAAACCGTGGAATCACCTGCGAGGGCTGCCCCTCGCAGATCCGGAATTTTATTTGCCCGGCTCCATCGATATTCTGCTGGGGGCGGAATCCTTTGTGTCCGTGTTGCGCGACGGTCGGCGTACCGGTAAAAACGAGGAACCGGACGCCTTTAACACAGCATTCGGCTGGGTTTTGATGGGCGCGGTCTCTCCTTCGCTTCACGCGCAATCCGTGCACTCCTTCGCCACCACTATCGAGTCGATTGACGCCGCGGTGGGGCAGTTCTGGAAATTGGAGAAGGTTCCCGAATCTATTCCTTGCTCCGAACAGGATCGGCGTTGCAGGGAGATATTCGACCAAACCACCTATCGTGACCATTCGGGCCGCTTTGTTGTCTCATACCCGTTCATCTCGGACCCCCCTACGTTCGTAGATTCGCGACCGATAGCCGTCAATCGACTGCGCGCACTCGAGCGTCGTTTCAAGTCTAATGGGGAGTTTCGAGAGGGCTATAACGCGTTTATGCAGGACTATTTAGATAGCGGCCACATGGAGTTGGCGAGCGATCCTTTCCCCGCGGACGGTCGCGTGTACTATTTGCCCCATCACGGGGTTTACAAGCTGGACAGCGCGACCACAAAATTTCGCGTGGTTTTCGATGCTTCGTCGAAATGCCCGAACGGGCTATCTTTAAACGATACCTTGCTCAGTGGCCCGAAATTGCAGCCCGACATAGTCGCGGTTCTACTTCTCTTTCGCGCGGAGCCCGTGGCCATTACCGCGGACGTAAAGCAAATGTTCCGGCAGATCCGAATCCACCCGGAGCATCGCAATTATCAGCGCATCGTCTGGCGCTTTTCGGAATCGGAACCGATCCTCGATTACATACTCACGACGGTCACATTCGGCACCACGGCCTCTCCGTTTTTGGCGATTTATTGTTTGCTCAAATTGGCCCACGACAATCGGAGTAAGTACCCGTTGGTGTACGCGGCGCTGATCGAGTCTCTCTACGTGGACGACGTCGTCGTCAGTGTCCGCACCGTCGAGAGAGCTGTTGCGCTCCGCGATCAATTGCTCGAGCTTTTTCGGAGTGCTGGATTTGAGTTGCGGAAGTGGGCGAGTAGCCACCCCGCCGCGTTGGGTGGCCTCGATCCGGAAATCTGCAGTCAGAAGACGCTTTCCTTCGAGTCGGCCGACGATCAAGCGCTTAAGGTTCTGGGTCTTCGTTGGCACTCGCAGTCGGACAGTTTCGGGTTTCAGCTAAACTCTCTGACGCGAGGATGCACCAAGCGAACGATACTGTCGGAGGTAGCACGCATATTTGATCCATTAGGTTTCTTGGCGCCGTTGACCTTCACCGCAAAACGATTGATCCAACGGTTGTGGACCTTGAAGCTCGAGTGGGACGACGTGCCCCCATTAGATGTTCGCCATCAGTGGGAACGATATAAATCGGAGTTCGACGCGTTGGCTCCCCTGCGAATACCCCGTACCTTTCTCTCGGGCGCGAACGTTCGGCACGAATTGCATGGCTTTTGCGATGCGAGCGAGCAGGGATATGGGGCCGTCGTGTACTTGCGTACGGTCGCTCCGGCGGAGACCGGGGTCGCGATACTTTGTGCGAAATCTAAGGTGGCTCCATTGCGCGCTATTTCCCTTCCCCGTTTAGAGCTCTGCGCTGCGGTACTTCTCGCGAATCTGCTCGCGTACGTCCGCCGGGTCCTGCAGGGACACATAGAAATCGACGCCGAGTACGCCTGGTCCGATGCCCGGGTGGCCCTGTGTTGGATCCGCTCTTCCCCGCATCGATGGAAGACCTTTGTTCGCAACCGCGTTGCTCGGATACAGGACAAGATCCCGATCTCGGCGTGGGGTCATGTGGCCACCGAGTTCAATTCAGCCAATCACTGCTCCCGTGGGCTTTTCCCTCGCAAACTCGTGGCCAATTCACTGTAGTGGAGAGGCCCTGAGTGGCTTATAGACTTCGAATCTCGCACCGAGCCGACACTCTCTGAGGAAACTCTCCCATGCGAGGAAGAGCGGATCACAGCCCTCGTCGCCTGCGATCCCCCTCATTCTATACTTTTGCTATTAGATAAGTTTTCGTCATTGGATAAGATTTGTAGGATTATCGCGTATCTTCTAAGATTCACTCGTCGATCCGGGGCCAAGTCGGTGCCCGCGACCTTGGCCGTGGATCAACTCGAGGCGCAGTCGGCGCTACTAGTTGTAGTTAAACTCGTCCAATCGATTTCTTTCAGTGAAGAAATCGATTAACTTCGAACCGGGAGGAGGCTGCCCAAGCAGTTTATTAGACTCGCCCCCTTTCTTGACCCAACGGGTGTTCTCAGGGTGGGCGGCAGACTCGCCCACTCGGGGCTGACGCTTGAGGCCAAGCATCCTGTGCTCCTCCCCAGCAAACACCGACTTACCGAGCTCGTCATCGAGCAGACACATCGTACGCATCTGCACCCGGGGAGACGCACGCTCCAATATTTGCTCGCCCAGCGATTCTGGATAATCGGGGTCCATCGCGCAATCCGCCGCGTCTTAGCCGATTGCTACATGTGCTTCCGAGCAAATCCTCGCGCTCTCCAGCCTTCTATGGCCGATCTCCCGGCCGACCGGGTTAATGCAGTCAAAGCGTTTTCAATCAGCGGTGTAGACTTCGCGGGGCCGTTCTCGATCGTACCCCGCCGAGCTCGGGGAGTCTCCTCCTTCAAGGCTTATGTATGCCTGTTCGTTTGCTTTACAATTAAGGCGACCCATTTAGAAGTCGCTCTTTCATTATCTACAGACTCCTTTCTCGCTGCGCTGCGACGCTTCGTATCCCGTCGCGGACGCTGCTCACTCTTGTATAGTGATTGCGGAACGAATTTTGTGGGAGCAGCGCGAGAACTCGAGCAGCACATGTGCCACGCGGCGGAGCGAGAAAGGATCCAATGGTCCTTCAATCCTCCCTCGGCGCCCCATTTCGGGGGCATCTGGGAGTCGAATGTTAAATCGTTTAAAACCCACCTTCGACGAGTGGTGGGGGACCAAATCCTTTCGTTGGAGGAGTTCACGACGGTCCTCACCCAGATAGAGTCCGTCCTGAACTCTCGACCCCTCTGTCCGCTGAGCACCGATCCCTTGGATTTGGAAGTCCTGTCGCCCGGACATTTCTTGACTATGGAGCCGCTCGTGGCCGTCCCTTCGCCCGACCTGACTCCGCTGGCGACGAGTCGCTTAGGCCGGTGGCAGCTAGTACAGCGGATGCACCAGGATTTCTGGAAGCGCTGGCACAAGGAGTATCTCCATACTTTACAGCAGCGTCCCAAGTGGTGGATCCCCGCCAACCCGCTCACCGTGGGCTCGTTGGTACTTATTAAGGACGATAACGCGTCCCCGTTGCGTTGGAAACGCGGCCGTGTAGAAACGCTACATCTCGGTATCGATGGTGTCCCGCGTGTCGCCACGGTTCGGGTGGCGGACGGCTCGATCCTGCGTCCCCTGGTGAAGCTATGCCCCTTGCCGACGGGCACACCACGGGCCGCGGATTCCGAGTAAAAAAGGAAAAAATACAAAGCATTGTATTTTGGTGGGCGGCATGTTTGGCGCTCGCCTGTACATATTAGATGTCCGTGTCATTAGTAATTGTTGTACATATTAGTTGATAAGTTTGCGCGTACAAGTAACGTACAAAATCGTATTTGTCGTGACTCGCGCGAGACGTTGGCGGATCGCGACAGATAGCAACACTCGCGCGACTCACCCGACTCGTGCTGCCCGCCCACGGGTGGCCCGCAATTAGTTGGAACCATGAGTACTCGCTCCGGCCGCTATTTTGCAGGTGCGCGAACCGAGGAGTACCGTGAGAAGATTCGCTGTTCAAACGTGGACTCGAGAACACACACTCGCCTTGCGCTCGCACAGTTCGGAGTAACCGAGTGAACTCGCAATTTCGGAGCTCGACAAATCGTCTCAGTAATCTCGGGCTTGAGTGCTTGCCTCTTGCACATGTGCCTGCTATATCGCCTGCTTGCCGTATTGCACGTTTTGCCTGCCTGCCTGCCGCGGCACGTGAGTGCCTGCACATCCTAGCCTGCTGCACGCCTTCCGCTCTCCATCACCACGGGGAGGACCGGACGCCACGAGGCCACCACAAGACCATCGGGCAACGATACGGTGAGTCGCTTTTCGCTTGCTTTCGCTTTATTCGCCTAATTAAACTTGTGAGGGGATTGCCCCTCTGGTCCTTCGAACCGCGAAATCTCATCGACCGATCGCAAATCCGGGGCGATTAACACCCCCCCGAGCATATTTCTTGCTAAATAAACGAAATAAAAGCATTTATGAAGATGGGTTCTCATTAGACTTCTTAGACTTCTTCTCTTTATATAGACATCTCCTTAGACTTCTTAATATCGCGTTTCCCATAACTTCCATCCTCTTGTTTTCTATATGGAGCATTCTTTAACCATTGTCCTGCATATGTTGACAAATCCGCCACAGTTACATTAGGTCTCTTGTTATGAATTGCACCTAAAAACGAAATAATATTTGAGGTAAGATTGCTGAACACAAGCAAGAAATGTTTAAGTATCTTACTCCTGTAAAACACATATATACGAATATTCAATATGTACTCACCTATAATTACTTCCCATAATAATAATTTGCAAAAGGGTTTCATTTGGTTGCCATCGCCTCGAAAATTATATTTACACGCAAGAGAATTAGTAATAGCTGCAGCCATAACTGCATATAATACTTCATTATCTTTTACTTTACACTCTTCTTTGGCTTTAACTTTTAGGTGTACAAAATAATGTACTTTAAAGATGAAAGAAAGACATCACTAGCTGAGTTCAGTAGAAAAGGCAGCTTAACACATTTTATGCCACGTGGGTCACCAGTGACCCTAAACTTTCGATCTTTTAGGCCGTTATGTAATTATTATAGAACACAACTATAATAAACATACTAGGTAAGTGGGTCGATCACCGGTGACCCATGCGGCATAGAAGACAAATGACATAAAATTAATTCGGCATGGTGTAAATAAGAATTTTGTGCTGCTTGGATTATATTTTTAGATTTAAATTGACTACAATTCATAGAATTAATTATTCTTGTAGAGCTAAAAATACATATAATCCAATCAGCACATAACTCTTATTAAATTGCTTTATCTACTAAAATCAGCTACTGTTGAAGTCAAAATTAAAACAAAAAAGCAAAACAAGATAGAAAAATACTTACTAATATACTTACTAAAATACGGAAATTTTCATTAGTCTTGAGGTATTCCTCAGAAAGTTTCATTTCTTCATCACTTTTTATAAGATATGATGGCATATTATCAGGATGGGTATGCCTTTTTTCATTCGGAAGGAAAAAACTTGAAAGCTGGCACTGGAAGGTTATAATTTTGTCTACTTTCAAATTTATTTCTTGTCACTCTTCTGCTGCCTTCTTCTTTATTTCTTGGATTTCTTTCAATAAGAGGTGTAGAAGATCTGTAATATTTGATGAAGAAAAAGAATCTGAAGAAAAAGAAAATAGTAAATAATAAACTAAAGTGATAATTGTTGATCTGTTTGCTGTGTTGTTAGTAAAAATATGTTTGAATATTTTGTTCGATCACAAAATGGGTTTTTTTCAAAGGGTTCTACTTAAATAATAAAGCATAAATAATCACAAATTCTAAAATCAAGAATAAGTTTATATCAAGTATATAAAAATTTTAATAAAATCACTAACAAGGAACATGTCACAATTGTTCGGAACAGATTTAATTCTCCTAGAAATATATTAACATAAAAATTCAAAACACGTTTTTTATGTCTCTTAAATTTTAACTACATATTTCTAGGAAAATCAAATCAATTTCAAACAGTTGAGACATGTCTTGCCCTTGTAAAATGATGAAAAATAATATACATGTACATATCCTACAAAATAATATAAAAGCTTAAAGATTGTCAAACCTAAGGTAATAATGACACATAGAAAAATTTAAACAATAAGATTTAAGCAGCAAGCACATCAATCAATCGTACCAAACATTATTAGAAATTCTTGATTGTAAAATGTTTAAATTCGCTTAATGTTTAAGTTTTACTATTTGAATAACTTTTATATGTGCCACGTTTATTGAGCATTATTTGAAGAAAAAAAAAATATATATATAGCCAAATATTTTCAGGAAAAAGAAAAATATTAAAAATATTATCTATGTAACAGTAAATCTATTTATACCTAACGTGTAACTATTATGTTATTATGATTTAAAGTAAAATTTATTTATTCCTTTCTAAAAAAAGGCATGTTAAATCGATACTCGCATCTCTCAAAGTCTTCTCGAAAGTCTCGAATTGCTTTGTTGGCTCTTTTCCGCGA